GTAAAATTCCCTCAATACTGTCCCTCCAGCAAACACTCCCAGGACAGGGACAGCATGGGGTTAGATGCAGATAAAGCTCCTATGGTTTGGTGCAGCAGGAAAAATTTTCATCCTTCTTTACTGGTTTGGAACTTGAGTACTGTCGTAATTAGACAGTCTCTACTCTCAACCAGAGATAGTAGGAACTGCAGATGCTGGCGAATCCGAGACAACAAGGTGCAGGGCTGGATGAACACAGCAGGCCAAGCAGCATCATAGGAGCAGAGAGGCTGACGTTTCGGGCCTAGACCCTTCATCAGAAAAGGGGGAGGGGAAGGGGGTTCTGAAATAAATAGGGAGAGAGTGGGAGGCGGATAGAAGAGGGATAGAGGAGAGGATAGGTGGAGAGGAAACAAACAGGTCGAAGAGGCGGGGATGGAGCCAGTAAAGGTGAGTGTAGGTAGGGAGTTAGGAAGGGAGGTCCAGGGAGGACGGACAGGTCAAGGGGGCGGGATGAGGTTGGTCGGTAGGAGATGGAGGTGCGGCTTGAGGTGGGAGGAGGGGATAGGTGGGAGGAAGAACAGGTTAGGGAGGCAGGGACGAGCTGGACTGGTTTTGGGATGCGGTAGGGGGAGGGGAGATTTTGAAACTTGTGAAATCCACATTGATACCATTGGGCTGCAGGGTTCCCAAGCGGAATATGAGTTGCTGTTCCTGCAACCTTTGGGTGGCATCGTTGTGGCACTGCAGGAGGCCCAGGATGGACATGTCATCTGAGGAATGGGAGGGGGAGTTGAAATGGTTCGCGACTGGGAGGTGCAGTTGTTTATTGCGAACCGAGCGTAGATGTTCCGCAAAGCGGTCCCACAAGTTTCAAAATCTCCCCTCCCCCTACCGCATCCCAAAACCAGCCCAGCTCGTTCCTGCCTCCCTAACCTGTTCTTCCTCCCACCTATCCCCTCCTCCCACCTCAAGCTGCACCTCCATCTCCTACCGACCAACCTCATCCCGCCCCCTTGACCTGTCCGTCCTCCCTGGACTGACCTATCCCCTTCCTAACTCCCCACCTACACTCACCTTTACTGGCTCCATCCCCGCCTCTTCGACCTGTTTGTTTCCTCTCCACCTATCCTCTCCTCTATCCCTCTTCTATCCGCCTCCCACTCTTTCCCTATTTATTTCAGAACCCCCTTCCCCTCCCCCTTTTCTGATGAAGGGTCTAGGCCGAAACGTCAGCCTCTCTGCTCCTATGATGCTGCTTGGCCTGCTCTACTCTCAACCAGTCTCAGTTAACCCGAGCTCATGCTTCAGTTCTGGTCGCTGACCTCATTGTGTAATTTCCTATCAGAATCCCAAAGAATCCTTTTTTGGATGATATGAGAGTGAGGTTTAGCATCATGAGCCACAATTGCACTGAAAGGAGTGAGGGAGTGAGGAATGGAGTGAGAGAGGGAGGGAGGGAGGGAGTGAGGAATGGAGTGTGTGAGGGAGGGAGGGAGTGTGTGAG